CAGTCCGTGGAACTTGTGACTCTTGACCTCCGGGTTGTGAGTTCGAGCCCCACACTGGGTGTAGAGATGACTTAAAAATAAAATCTTAAAAAAAATACATAGCTTCACAAGATGCATGTATTTTTTCTCATAGTGCAGTGCAAAATACTGCCTCCCCCATTGTTTACAAAGAGTCTCTAGAGGATAGGAAGAAGGAGCACACAACGCTAATTGTGGGAAAGGAGATAGAGGAATACTTCTCTTTTCTCAGATCTCCAAAGATTGTATTAAAATATATTGTAAGTTGTTGGCGAATCCCTGATTCTGGTGAACAAGTGAAATTAAAAGCTAGTTTTAAATGCATTATGAATTTGCTATGAGGCTGATGATAATCTGAATGAGCCTCTAAGGAGAAATTAGAGAAAGAGCCCAAAATGCAGAAAACTTTCCCTCTGACTTCTTTCCTATTAGACTGTGTTGTGTTTATAGACTCTGAGCAAGAGGGTTGGTTAGGTTCTGAACAAGTAGAGAATGCTTTTGGGTTTTGATATGTGGTTTATGTTTGGGGCAAAAGTGTGTTTGTTTGTTCTTCTTTTCATGGAAAGCTGCATTCCAATCGGCCTGTCAGTATTCTTGTCTACTGGGCTGCAGTGTTTTTACAGTCGCTCAGTCTGCTTTCAAATAGCATCTATTTTTGAAAAAAGGATGTCCTTCCTAGGGTAGAAGGAAAAGCTTATTGTTCCAAAAAATGCTGCTTCCTGGTTAGAGCAACATTTTCCTGTTTGTCTTCAAGACTAGAAAAATTTGGGGAAAAATAGTGTACATTTTTAAGGGTCCTTTAAAATAACAACGGTCATGTGAATTGTATTCGTCTTGGGAGGTGCACTTGGGGAATTCTCAGTTTGCATATCATAGTTTCTTGACAGAAATGTCAGTTGGGATACTTCAGGTGATTTAATGCTCCAGCATTTGTTTTTCTGCAGTCAAGTTTGTTGAAATGTAACTTCAGTCTGTGAATGTCTCTTGTTTGCATAGAAAAAAATTTATCATCCAGGAATATGACTCCCCGAAGGTCATACATTTCCTTGTTTATCTTAAGAGAAAGCCCTTGCTCTCTGATGCAGCAAGCATATCTGCTTTTCACTGAGGTTTGCAGATTCAGGTTGGTTGGAGGAGCTAATCTTCCTCAGCACCTCACCCTTTTGCCTTTTTGTATCTTTGCTGGGTAAAGGCAATTCCATGCCAATTTATAGATTATTTTAATAAAGACCAACTATTAAGAGGAAATGAGGGTTAAAAATTATAGGTGAAAAGTGAAGGCAGAGCACTTAGGGGTGACCTCTACAGGCAAGGAAGGGGGATGGAAGTGGTTCCTGGGCTTGTTGGGTTGCTTCACTTGGCTTCTCATGCCCCCGTATCTCTTCCCTTACTCTGCTGATATTTTTCCTTTCTCTTGGTTGTGCTGTCTGAAATCTCATACATTTACAGATTTGTTTGGACTATGGAAATGCAAATGGAGGCAGACAACTACCCACAGAAGATTCAAGGGCCCCCACTGATCACTCATCTCTGCATTTGTCTTCAGATTTAATTTTAATTTTTAGACTTTTAATTTTTAGACCAAGGCATTGATGCCTTAGAATGAGGTTTGGGGTATCGCCGGACACCTGGGGAGAGGATAGAAAAAAATGTGTAGGAAGATTCAAAAGGCCATCTTTGCCTATTTCAAAATATTGCTTGGTCCATTTTGCTCCTAGGGAAGGATAAGAAAGCTTGTCTTCCTTTTTGCCTTTCAGTGTTATTTACCTTACTTGAAATCCCTAATCATCGCTAAACCTAATGTTTGGCCACTGGGCTCTTTATTGAAGAAAAGCTTAGCCAGAGTCCTTATTTCTTTAGTTTGCATTTCTTCTGCTCATCTCTAATCAAGTTCTTTCTTTCCTCAGAGTCAGGAGGAGAGATTTCCTGATGCCTTTTCCAAAGCTTTTCTGCTTTTCCTACCTACCTCAAATCTGTGATGGTTGTGTTCATATTGCACAGTGAAACATTACACTTACTTGTTGCTGCCATCTAGACATCATTTCTTACCATTCCTTCTGTTAGGTACAACTAAGAGATCTCAAGTGTAGATACAATGTATCTGTAAAGTCATCTAATTCAAGCTAGATTATATTGCCTTCCATTTAACAGCTTCATTTAGAATAATGGTGTCTGCTTCTTGAGTTTATAAGCTCCGTGTGGCATAAACCATTTAAAATAAGTTTCTTTTGAGATGGCTTGTTCTAAGGGTAATAGAAGAAACTCTAGACGTAATCGCTGAATTCATTTCGAGAGTTGAATACAATTCAAGAAGTTTATAGTCTAGTTAGATATCTGAAGTACATGAAACAGTTGCCTAGGATTCCCTGATTTTGTATTGCTTGAGTGACACATGTTTAAATTTATTCCTCAGAAAACATCATGATTATGTGAGCTGCAGATGTCTTATTTATGCAGTGACATACATACAGATTTGGTCATGCAGTAGTGAGGTAATGCAGTCCCTTTCCTTCGCACTCAGAGTTTCATAATGCAGGCTCTGTAACAGATTTCTGACGCATTTGCTATGTCAGTGACTTATAGGTGAGAATACACCATTGTTCTCTACATTTTTAAAACTAATAAGCAGTCTTACTTAATTTGCAAGTTATAACTATACTTATCATCTTAAGATAAATAATGTAGCTATTGTCCTTAAATCTATTTTATATAATCATATAGGCTATATGTTCATACTCCAAGTTGTTGCATCAGTACTGACATATGTCCTGGGTGTGACATAACATTCAGGAAGGTGACCCCTGCACAACTATGAAACTCTACAATGTTAGGAAGCACCAGATTAATAAAGTGGCATTTCATTAAGGGATATGCTCTCTGATTTTGCTGGGTTTGTTTGAACAAGACAGTTATTTAAGACCTATTGTCTTTTAAGACTTAAAGGTGTTTTTTCCCTCCGTTCTATATCTAAGCTTCCAAATTCTTGCTGCTGTCATGTTCTTTTAGACTTCTCCCTTCTCCACCTTAAAAAAAAAAAAAAAATTATTTCTTTCTGCTGCTTTCCCAGTATACCTTTTTTTGTCATTGTAAATTTATTTGCTTGATGAGTGTTAAATGAATGTGAATAGTCTTGTCTGTTAAATAAGAGTGTTTTAGGCCTTGGGCAGGTTATAACCCAAGGTTGATAGGTAATTCAGTGAAAAATATTTAAGACTTTAGTATTAGATTCATAATATAAGCTCTTCAGAAGTGGGGGGCAATCTTTCCATACTATTTAATGACTGCAAGTAGCACAGATATTTATAATATCTAAAATAGAATGTGTACTTTAGGATTGTCCAGAAAAGCTCTTATTATAGCTATTAAAGAAAACTCATTAATTAGGACACTTTTTATTGATTTTCCCTACATGCAAATAGAGTATTATGATTGGAGTCTGATTGTTTCTAAAGAAGGAATTTATTAGCTTTAGGAATGCAAACTTTAATTAGATGGAGGGAAAGGTTTTGTTTTAGCTTTCTTATTTGTATAGAATTTATAGGGTCTAGTTTTAGATTTCAGTCTTTAAATAGCTTTTAAAAGACTTGTGGGAAATAACAAGGACTATAGATGGATAAAGTTGAAGACCATCAGTTTATTTGAAAGTTGATCACCAGAGGGTGGCACTTTAAATTTCTAATATTATAAATTTTAAATTGGGACAATTTAAAGTTATAAGTAAGGTTTTTTTTCCCCCTTATCACATCACAATATTGTTTAAGGACTACACTAAAATATTTTAGGCTGAAAACCTCAATATCCTCTTAAAAAGTTTTCGAATTTCTTATCTAGTTGTTATCACTATCCTTTATCTGTGCCCTTGATATATGAAATTTAATTACACATGTAGTTTGAATTGTTTAGAAAGGTATTCCTAGGGCTACAGAATTTTTTTCTTAATTAAAAGAGAGGATTAAGGGTCACCTGGGTTGCTCATTGGTTAAGCATCTGTCTTTGGCTCAGGTCATGACCCCAGCGTCCTGGGATTATGTCCTGCATTGGGCTTCTTGCTCAGTGGGGAGTCTGCATCTCCCTCTGCCTGAAGCTCCCCCGCTTGTGCTCTGTCTTTGACAAATAAATAAGTAAAATCTTAAAAAAAAGAAAAGAGGATTAAATTGAACCAAAGTGTAGTATAAGACTTGTACACTCAAAAGTATAAAACATTGTTGAAAGAAATTAAGGAAGACCTAAGTAAACGGCAAAACATCCCCTGCCATGGATTGGAAGACTAAATGTTGTTAAGATGGCAATACTACCTGAATTGATCTACTGGCTCAATGCAATCCTTATTAAAATTTCAGCTTTATTGATTGATTGATTGATTGATTGCAGATTGCCCACCCATGCCCTCTTCCTGTTGCTCTTTTTCTGGGCTGAGGAGAGTGCAGTGGGTTTCAGAGCCAAGAGGGCAGGGGAAGGGTCATGTACATGGCCTCCACTGGGTTCTGTGCCATGGCTCAGTGCCACTGTGGTCTCCTAGAAGAAAAAACCGTGGTATGTGAATTATATCTCAATAGAATTCTTATTTTAAAACAAGACAAAAAGGATAGGGGCACCTGGGTGGCTCAGTTAAGTGTCAGACTCTTGGTTTTGGCTTAGGTCATGATCTCACAGTGGTGGGATTAAGCCCTGCATGGGGCTCCAAGCTCCTCGCAGGAGTCTACTTCAGATTCTCCCCCCACCCCACGCGTGCACGCACACGCTCTTTCGCTCGCTCGCTCTCTCTCAAAATAAATAAAATCTTTTTAAAAAATGATAATTTTTCAAGTGTCTTAAAATACTTATTTTCGATAAGTTTAAGCCAGTTTATTATATATTTTAATACCCTTGTATATATCCCCAAGATGGTTGAATGGATGACACTTGTGTGGTTTAGCTTTTCTCTTGATTTTTCCTGCTTTTTCCTGACAAGTCTAATAATTTCTGTTTTTCTTTTCAAACAGGATCTGGAAATAGTATATTCCTATTTACATGGTATGGAAGCCTTATCAAACTTGAGAGAGCACCAACTTAGGTAAGTCATTTTATGATGACTAATAATGGGATGCTGGAATTTTATATGACCCTTTATTATGGTTAAGAAGTAGGATTAAAGATAACTTACGAAAACTCTGCCTCATCTAGCCTCTGTACTGGGCCTTATAAGTTTTACATCCATATAATAATTTTTTGACATTTCTGCCATAGTGATATCTTCTCTTCCTCCATATCCCACTCCTTACCCCCCTCATCTAAAGGAATAAATACTACTTGGTGAATACCCCAAAAGGAGTGTTATTTGCTGTCCTGGCAAACAAAGATCTACATTTCAGCACTTAGATACATAAGAAACCAGAATGTTTTTAACCATTCAAAGAACAATGAGGTTCATTATTTTAATATGTTTTAGGTCTTTGTATGGAATATGTTTATTGCATTAAGTTAACTGCCCTTTTTTGGGAAACACATATAAAATCTTATTGGTTCTATTCTACAGTGATAGAGTAACCTTAATTATGGTTATCTGAGCTGTATTTAAAGAACAAAAACATATAATCCAGTGATTTTGTCTTAACTGGAACAGAATATAAAGGACCTTGGGAAGATGGATTATATATAAACACCAGCAAGGACATAGAGAGGGTTTTCTTTCCTCCAATTGTAGCTAGTTTTGATACCAGCAGTTGTGAATTATTAAAGGAATACTTTTTCTATGTATTTTCCCTTTACTCTTTAAACACTAATTAATATGCGAGCCTGTCAATTTCATATTTAGTTGTTAATTGAAAAAAGTGTCAAGAGGATTGAGTACTTCTAAAATTTAATTTTTAATGAAAATCATTTAAATTAGATTGCAGGTTAAGTGTTTAAAAATTCAGGTTTTATTGGAAAGGACAAAACTATTGGGAATTTAGAAGATGGCTCAAATTAAAGTAGGAATAATTTTTAAAGTGTCTAACTTCCATTTTATGTTTTTGACATAAAAAACAAAACATTTTATGTTTTGTTTATGACAACTACCCTAAGAAAAAATTGTAGCACCATCTATTTGATTGAATGCCGTTAATCTGCAAGTGCAAATGGAATTATTTAATACGCAAATATAAATGGCACATTCCTATGTTTGTATAAAACCACACATGGATAATATTTAAATAATATTTACATATATTATATAATGTATGTCTATGGTATATGTGGTTATAAAGTTATTTAGGTAACAGGGACTCTGTGCAATAGAACAAGGAAAATTTTACTACTTCTTAATGGAAATTTTCAAAATTACAAAAGTAAATAGTATGATGAAGTCCCATAAATCCATCACCCAGCTTTAGAACCACCAATTTTCCACTGCTTCAAAGGGAAATTTTGGGTAGAAATAGCTGATTAATTCAGTCATATAGTTTAGTCTATTTATACTTTAGAAAGTCTGTTTTGGAGACTATACAGTTTTGTTTGTTGGCATGAGCTTACAGGGAGGGAACTTTAAAATGTTTATCTTATTCTGCTTAAGTTGAAAATCATTTGTTTCTGATATTTATGGAAAATATCAGCTGAAACTAACTTCAGTCCTTTTTTAGAACAAGATCAAGATACCAACATGGTTAATAACAAACAAAAAAAAGAGGTATAGATAAATACAATGACTTGGATAAAAGAGCTACCATTTCTAGGAAAAATATATCTTATTTAGATAATTTATTTTCTTTGAATTTTATACATAAAAGTTTTATCCCTGGGATTAACAGGGAACAGTTAAGACTTCCACATAATAGAGTTTTCCAATTTTAGAAAAGAAACGGCACTTAATCATGATTTTGAAAGTTTGTTTATTTGGCGTTAGGTAATAGAACATTAGTCTTCTATGAGGGACAGCAGAGACTTTCATTTTTTGGAAAACTTCAGCTTTGTGCATTATTGTGGCCCACCCATGTGTAAGCAGTAAAGTGATTCTGAGTGTTAATTGGCATGCAGTTAATGACTATGTTGCTGTAAGATCACATATCCTATGAAGTGTATAGGTTTTCAGATCTTCACTTGAAAACTATATATTTTTTCAACACAACTTTATTTTTCTAACGTTTACTCCCTGAATCCACATGGATTAGAAGCAGCATATTTGCCAAAAGGGCAGAGGATGCTATAGTTAGGTGAGAGCCAAAAGTCTGAAAAAACAAAGTAACTGTCTGCACCCATTCAGTGTTGGAAGTAAGAGCTTGCTGAAATACATGTTCTTTAGCATTACGGATAAGTGTAATTATTGTTACATAAGCAGTTTTAGATCATTAAGAAACAACTAAATTATGCTTAGTATATTCTTGAATTCAGGGACTATTAATGTGCTTTTTGTTAAAACATCCTCCAATGATGTTTAAAGATGACCAGTTTTGGTACTTTTCCCATTTATTTATTTATTTTAGTACTTTCCCCATTAATTTGTCTTATAGAAGATTTTATCATGATTTTCTGAGGGCACTGGTTAAATTTATTTATTCAGTCAGCAGTCATTGATGTGTGCCTATTATGTGCTGGACATTGACGTAAGCCATGGAGATACATTGAGGTAGACCAGACCTCTGCCTTTATGGAGCTTATATTCCTGGTGGGGCAGACAAGATTTAAGTAAATGGGTCAATGTTGTTTTATTCAGATGTTAGTGCATTTAGCATGGTGTGTGGCCATGTCCCAGCAGACTCTAAACCAAGGGCAGAGAAGCCGTGATTGAGACCTAAGTTTATTGAGGGAACTTAGGTACAGGGAATTCAGGAACAGTGGACTGGACAAAACACCTGCTTTTGGATCCACAGTTAGCAAGTTTTTATAGGGTAGCAACTTAGTCTAGCAGCTGTCTGTAGCCCTTCCCACCCTCCATGGCCAGTTCCAAGGAGCTCAAGGCCTGCCATCCAGTCACTCTTTATTACAAAGGAGATGCTCTGGGTTGGCCACCCCTGGAGCCCCTGACCTTGAGCGCTGAACAACACGTTCTTGTACGTATTCTGCTTGATGGGAATATAGAGTGAGGATGGGATCTCTACATTCTCAAGATAGTGATTAACAGGAACATTCAGAGTGTGCTTGTACAAACTAGCCTTCTAGCATGTACCATATACTCCACCTTGCATACCTTGGATGGTCCATACATTTTTTTTTTTTTTTTTTAAGAGGAGAGGAGGCAAGGAGGGGCAGAGGGAGAGGGAGAGAGAGAGAATCTTAAGCAGGTTCCATGACCTTGAAAACATGACCTGAGCCTAAATGAAGAGTCAGATGCTTGAATGACTGAGCCACCCAGGTGCCCCTGGCCTGTACATTTTTTATATTCTCTTCTTTTGCAATGTCCCTGGGGCCGAGTATGCCGAGGTGCAGTGCAACCAAATCCTACAGCAACAGTACAAGCCACAGCATCCAAATAATAGGAGAACACAAATGGCTAAGAAACTCTAGAAAACATTTTTTTTTTTTTTCTAGAAAACATTTTGCCAGAGGAAGCCTACAGTCGCTGATGGGGGGAGTTCACTATATACCCAACAGTTGGTTTTATTCTGTATAGAAGCTATGGTCAGGACCCAATTGGCAAAAGGTTCCCCATGCAGAATCTAAGGGCAAAAAGTTAAGCTGTTTAGTAACCACCAGAAGAGGCAAGTCATGATTGTTTAATAGAATGCAGGAGGCAGTGTTCTGGAATAACACCACCCATGACTGTGGTTTGGCTCCAGGTTTATAGTACCCAATTGTTGGCCTCCCCTCTGCTATACAGTGGGATAAGCCTGAAAAGGATGGTGGGGGTATAATAGTGCTCCATAAGGTGATTATGATAGTGTCCTTTTTTTTTTTTTTTTTCCCTTAAGAGGGGGAGGGAGATAGAGGGAGGGAGGGGCAGAGGGAGAGGGAGAGGGAGACTCCTAAGCAGGCTCCACACCCAGAGCGGAGCCCAGCATGGGGCCCAGTCAAACAACCCTGAGATGATGACCTAAGCTGAAATCAAGAGTCGGGTGCTTAACCGACTGAGCCACCCATATGGCCCAGTAGTGTCCTTTTTTTATGAGAGGCCTGGGGTTGTGTACCTTCACTGTCTTTGGTGGAGTGGGGTCAAGAAATGGGGTGATGGGTAGGTCTTGTTCTATTCCTAGTCCCCATTGGGCCAAAAACCCGAACCACTGTGGACTTCTTTGCCATTTCCAGAGCCATTTAATTATATGTTTCCCTATAGGTGGATCTTGTGGCAGGGACAATAAAAGGTTACCTTGTGCTCTACTTGCAGCAGAGAACATCCTTCCTGCATTCTGTCTACTTGTCTTCTAAGGGTGACATCAGGTCCTTGATGAGTAGAGTATAGGCACTCGACTGATTGGAATGTACCTGTTCATTTAATGTCCATATAGCTGTTGACAGGGCACTCGTCCAGAAGGCCAGTGAATGGGTTTCTTGTTGCACTTGTTGTTTCAACAGTCCATTCATGCGTTCTGTCAGTCCAGCTGCAGTGGGATTGTATGATAGATGGAAATGCCAATGGATGTCTGAGTGTTGGCCCACTCTTGCACTTCATGTCCTGTAAAGTGGGAGCTTTGGTTGCTGTCAATGTCAGTGGTACCTCATAGGGAGCACCCAGCTGTTCTAGACTGAGGATGGTAGCCTTTGGGTTAGCACGCTTCCTGGGGTAGGCTTGCAGGAGTCCCGAATGAGTGTCAGTACACATCAAAGTATAACAGCAACCATCAGAGAGGGGCGGGGGACCGAGGTAGTCAGTCTGCCATCTTTGAATATGGTGCTGCTCCCTTGTTATCTGTCCAGTGTCACTTGACAGAGGTGGTGGCTGTTCCTGGGCACAGGTTGAGCATTGTTAGCTGATGGTTCCAATGTCTTTGTAACACCACAGTAAGCCCCAGTTATTAGCAATGGCCCACAAGGTCTGTGTCCTGTGTCCCACCTTCTTGTGTAGCCAGGTGGTAACATCCTCTGTTGGCATATCTTCTAGGAGGCAGCCATGGGCCAGATCATTATCTTGTTAATTATCAGGTGGGGTGCATGCTGTGTGTGCATCTACATGGTAAATAGTGATGTTCATACCTCATAATTGCTGGAGTATGTCCTTCCACATTTTGCCCCAGAGTGGGTGTTCCACTACCATCCAGTCCTGTGCCTTCCACTGGAGAAGCTACATGGTCAATTCTTGGTAGACTGTCCAGCTATCTGTGCATATAATAGTGGGGTAGGTTCATGGAGCAGTACCACCCATGCTGCTTATAATTTGGCCCATTGACTACTATGTCTAGTACTGGAGTCTACCCAGATACTTTCAGTTGAGGGTTGGATGGCAATAGCCATCCAGGTGCAGGGTTTGCTCCTTGCTGAGCCATTAACGTACCAGGCATGCTCAGGGATCGGTCTTTCTCCTTCCAGCACAAAGGATGGCAGCCATGGTGGCTATGCTATGCCAGTTAATGGCTGTGACATAAGTTACGGGGCCGAGATGGAGTGCAGCTCCACACGAAGGGGGCTGTGTGTCAAGGTACTACATTGTTGCAAGTAGGCATGCCATTCAGCTAGTTTGGGTCTAGGCACTGCCTGATTTGGGCTTTTGGAATGTATCCTTTAGTCATCCTGCTATAGGATACTGGGTGTGAACAGCTACTGGGATCCCTTTAGTTATGTTTCCTACTTGCCATCAGGCATGGTAAATAGCACACAGCTATTGTTCTAAAATGCTATATTGGGTCTCAGCTCCTTTTTAAAATTGTGACCAGAAACTAATAGCACATGTTTGTGCCCTTGCTGTTGCCACAAGCTCTATCCAAACCCTTCTGGGTAACTGGCGACATCCAATACATATGGCTGTCCCTGTATGAGAATACTTAAGGTTTGGATGTATTTAATAGCCATCTTGCCTTGTTCAGATGCTTGCCTTGTCTTTGTGGACTAGTCCCATTGGGCTTCTTTTTAAACCAGTCTATAAAGGGGCAGAAGCAGTTGAGCCAGGCAGGGGATAAACTGATGCTAAAACCCTAGGAGACCTATGAAAGTTTGCAACTGCTTTGGGATGGTGGGACATGGGTGTGCCTGTATTTTATCAATAACTGCTGCAGAGACAACTTTTGTCTTATCCGTTAAGCCAGGGCCCTGTATTTTGTTTTTGTTGACTGCTCATCCTTGACTTGTTAGGTGAGAAGGCAAATCTGGTGCAGTGGACTGCAAAGTAGAAAAAGACTGAGAAGTTAACATTAGATCATCAATGTAATGAGACAAACAGACTGCCTCTGGAATTGCCCAATGACTTAGGTCACTGGCCGCTAAGCTGTGGCAAATCATGGGGCTATATAAAAACCCCTGTGGTAGGATGATGAATGTCTGTTCTCCTTCCCAGCTGAAAGCGAATTGTTCTTGGCTTTCTGGGGCTATGGGAATACCTAAAAAGGTGTTAGCCAGGTTTAACATATGTACCTAAAACTTCCCCAATTCACATCAACAAGTGACATGATGCTGGGCACAGTTGCACGAAGAGGGGGTACCACCTTGTTTAGTTCTCTGTAATCCACAGTCATTCTCCATGTTCCATTTGGTTTCTTCACAGGCCAGACGAGACTATTATATAGACCATGAGTTGGTCATATAATGCCCACATTGGCTAATTCCTTAATTGTGCCTGTGATTTCTTCATGGCCTCCCAAGAGATGATACTGTTTAATTGCCATCACCCTCTGTGGGACAAGTAGTATTACAGCTGTCCATTTTGCGTCTCCTTTTATTTGTTTGACTAAGTGTACCCTCAGTTTGAATTCCCCTGCAGTAGTTGTCCTGAGAGGACATCCATTCCTAGAATATATTTGGGTATTGGGGTTATATACACTGTATGGGGCTTTGGTGGGAGTTATCCTGTCTGCAATTACTGCAGTCTGCTTCATTTGGATGGTACCACCCCCCACCCATCGATGGCAGAGATGGGCCCTTGAAAGTAGTTTCCATAAAGGAGAGTAAATTTGGCACCGGTTTCAACCAGAGCCAAACACTTTGTTTCTATTAGACCAATATATGGTGAGTTCTACATGTGACTGACATGTGGCTCCGGTCCCCAGACACCCAGGTGACAGTAGCTTGAACCAGCAGTCCGTGTCCTTTGCCTCTTCCCTAGTTCATAGAGAAAGCGTCCGTCATCCTCCCTCTGAGGGCGCCCTTTGTAAATTGCTGTTCAGGTTTTAATTTCTGCCAGAGCCCAACAAGGGCTGCATTGGATTATTTGCTTTCTCAAGGCGGGGGGTTGGGGGTGGGGGTGGTCCCTGCTACGGTGAGGTCTTATTACATCTGGGAACAGGTAACATGCATAGCCCTCTTCTTTGTTTCCTTCTCCTGTGAGTCCCTTTCCTTCATTCCTGCCTTTCTGATACCTCTTTTTCTTTGTTACAAAGGAGATGCTTCTGGCCGGCCATCCCCCAGCGCCCCTGACCTTGAACGCTGAACACTTTCTTCTATACATTCTGCTTGATGGGAATATAGAGGGAGGATAGGATCTCTATAGTCTCAAGATAGTGATTATTGGGAGCATTTAGGGTGTGTTTGTACAAACAAGCCTTCCAGCACTTACCATACACATAAGAATGGGTGCTGGGCTGCTTTGACTTTGTAGTCAGAGGAAGTAACATTTGAGTCAGGGCAGCTGTGCAGAAATCTCCATAGTGTAGTGATGCCCCGATACTCTGCCATGGGAATAGGCTTGGTGTATGAAGGCACCAAGGATAAGAAGTTTGGATTTCTTCCAAAGGTAGTGGAAATCAAGGGCAGAAGTGTAGGTGATCTGACTTAACATTTAGAAAGATTTCTTTAGAAACCATGTGGAGAATGGACAGTAGGTGTACAAAAGTAGAAGCTGACATCTACATTTGTAGACTTGGTCAATTTGAGAGGATATATTTTGGAAACAGGTGCTGGCAGAGAGATGGGATATGAAGAAAAGGGAGGAGTCACGGGTAATGACTCCAAGATCTTTGGCCTAAACAATTGGGTACTACTGATTGTGGGAAAGCAAATTCTTAGGAAAGAAATTTAAGATCTGTTTTGGACATTTTGAACATGAAATCACTGTTACACAGCCAGTGGCTATGTTGAGTAGGCATTTAGATGAGTGTATATCATGGTGAGAGATTAGATGTGGGGCATTGCTTGGAAAGTCATCCGTTTATAGATTAAATTTAAAACCACAAACTGGATGAGATTACATGGTGCAGAGGAGAAGAGGGCTGACAGGAGTTGATAACATTTAGAAGTCAGAGGAATGGGAAGGGGGGAGAATCCAAAGGAGACAGAAAAAAATGACTAAGAAGTTAAGAGGAAGACCAGAAGACTGAGGACAGGAAGCCTCGAGAAGATGATGGTGTAAGGAAAAAGGGAGTCAGCAAATATTGCTGAGAAGTGGAATTAAGATAAGGACAGAAAGGATTTAGATAACACAGAGGATGCTAATAACTTTTTAGAGTCTTTTCTTTGGAATTTCAGGGAGCAAATGATGGAGAAGTGGCAAGAGGGTGAGAAAATGGAGAGAAGAATATATAGACAGTCCAAGAGGAGAATATTTGTCATGGGAAAAGCAAAATATGGATAATAACTGGAGGGAGATGTGTGCTCAAATAGGTGTCCCCCTGCCCCATACAATAGGTGATGCTAAGATGAGTTTATTTAGTAAAGGAAGTGATTTAGGAGAGAGGTAGAAATGGATGGTGATGTGGAGAAGGAGGTAAACCTGAAGGAAAGCAGAGTCTATTGTAGGAGAAGGAATGAGATCCAGTGAAGAGGTTGCAGCAAGGATCCTTCTTTCATTCTAATAGGAAACAAGACAGAGCTGCTGTGTAATTTAAGACCCATCAATTGTGACTCTTATAAAGAATTGGTGTGATTCAATCTCTGTTAATGATGTGTATTCAAGGTTTGATGCTTCCTCCTGGAGTTAGTGACATTCAGTAGAATGTTTCAAGTAAGGGATTGAGAGGACCTCTGAAGTAAGGTGATGGTAGTAAGAACAAGGAAGAAGAATATACCAGAGAGTTGTTTTCAAGTCAAAAATCAAGAGTATGTGGTGTTAATTGGATTTAGCAAACAGGAAAAATGATGTAGGTTGATATCAGAGTTTCACAAATTGGAGACCACTAACCCCATTGACCAAAATGGAGGTGCTGTTGAAATAATCACTTTTATAGCCACTTTTTAATTTGCTAGTTCTTTCATAAGAAGGAATAGTCATTTTCTCTTTTGCATTTCTGTGTTTTTTGGAAATTTTACTTGGGCTTAATAGGATGCTTCTTGAAGATGCTGTTCTTGAGGTAATTTTGAATATTTAAACATTTATTCATGTTTTCCATAATTTCCATAATTTTTTCCTCAGGGATGAATCGGCCAAAATAACAAATCTTTAAGTTGTAAAGCCTCCATTTAGTCATTAGTCATAAATATACTGAGTTAATAAAAGCCTCCTTTTGTCTGAAATTACATACTGGTAAGTAACATTAACGTGAATGACTTTATCATTTTTTAAATTAATGGGTTCTCTCTTCTAATTTTTAGGTTCTTTTCTCATTTTCTGCTTACCTCGGAAAACATTAATTTGTCTACATGTCATTTACACAGTGTAAAACACATGCTATTTTGTTCCCTATAAAATACACATGGCAAAATTGTCATCTAACAAAAGTTTTTTTCTAGCATCTCTTTACCAGATTTTGTTTTATTATATTTTGTTAACCTGGATACCAAAAATATTTATATTTATCTTGAGGCTAATAAGTGATTGTGGCAGTCCATATAAAGTAATCTTAACTTTCTAAACCACATGTCTCTTTCATGTTTTTAACCTACTAGAATGTTTTCTCGTGACATATTGAACTCATGTCTCTGTTTTGTTTTTTTACAGGTTAATGTGTGAGACTGTGAGATATGAAAGACACGAAGCAAATGAAGTTTTATACTAGTAGGTGTTTTCTTTCTCTTTGTACAGTGTATACTGCAATAACGAAATAATTTCCTTAAAGTATCACAGGAGTATTAGTAACGGCTAAGTTATTAACTTATTTTTTGTAATTTAGAAACGTAAAACATTTCAACTATTGCCTGTCATAAAGTAAAAGTTTACAGTCCTTTGCTGCTAAGTTCCCATCTATACCTGTATATCTCTCACTTGTGGTTCAGAGATATTATTTAATATTATGGAATATTTTGACATTTTTATCATTATGAAATAAGAAACAGTGTAGTCTTTCTAACAGAACAAAATACATGTTCCCACAACCACGTCAAATGAGATTTAATGATAGCATAAATGTCATATTTTAGTTGATCACCTTTTCAGAAATAGGAAAATAAGCTGCCCACATCTCTTTGGGCTTAGTTTGTTCTATAAATAATACTGATATTTCTTTCAAGATATGTAACATATTCCTTGAAAAAATTACAATTTTTTTTAAGAATGTGATAAACATATAGTAGGTAAATATATTGTATTAAGGACATATAAACTGGTTTGCTGCACATATTATTTTATTAATAATGTTTGCCATGATTGACTGTTGTTCTGTTGACTTTCTGTTTTTCAAAGTGCTATTAAATAAATAATTACTACTTTCCATGCTTATTATAGGGAATATTTATTGAAATAAATGAAATACAGCTTCTCCCCCTTAGGGAGGCTGTAATTATAATCTCTTGAAGGAGCTAGAAATAGAATAAAAGGAAAACAACAACAACAAAATGTAACCAACCAGAAGAACTGAGAGAAATGGAGAGAAGAATATATCCTATATATAGATATATACCTATATATAGATAGGTACTAAGGGCTGAAGAAGTACAAGAGAAGCCTTGAGGGGAATGGGAAGAGTCTCAGAGAAGTGGCCCTTTGAATTAGGTCTCAAAAGTGTATCTGGTAGTCTAGAGAGACTTTCTTGGCAGAAGGAACAGTAAAAGGGGAAGGGGCCTGGTCTGATGTTCTGAATACCTGCGGCAAGTTCAGGGCCACTGACATCTGGGTATGCGTCAGGATGACAAATTAAGAGAAGAGTCAGGCTACAGTCATATTTGCTTGTGAATGTGTTGTTAAAAATACCAGTCGTGATTCTTTAGGCAATTGGAAATGAGTTTTTTCCCTTCTAAATAACATTTTATTATGGAAAACTGCAAATGTTCACAATATTAGAGACAGTAGTATAATGGACCCCCATGTATGCATCATCCAGCATTGTTAATTGATGGCCAGTTATGTTTCATCTCTTATTTCCCCTCTCCCACCTCTAACTGGATTATTTTTAGGTAAATCCAGACATAACAATTCTTCTGTATCAATTTTGATATGTATCTTTATCTTTAAGAGATAAAGACTTAAACAAAAACCCTAACCACAATATTATCATCGAACCTTAAAAAAATAATTCCTTAATATTATGAAAATATTCAAAATCTCTTTGTCTCAAAAAAATCTTTTCTTTACAGTTTATTTATCGGTTGATATTTTTCTTAAATCTCTTTTAATCTGTAGCCAGGTGGCCAGTTTTCAAGCAGCAAAATGATGTGACCAAATGCCTCCCCATCCTTCCCCTCAAAGATGATACCTGTGTCTCTCTGAAAATACAAAGGTGGATGAGATTGAGTGGCTGGGCAGGGAGATTAGTGAGGAGACAATCGAAGTAATCTGAGGAGGGTAGTGCTTGAACTGAGGCTAACTGAAGGAATGGGGGGAGTCAGGGATGGGGTTTAGAAGAAGATACAGGTGATCTGATCTGATCTAGGGTGATTCTTAGGTTGTAACTTAGGAAACTATGACATCTAGAGGCTGTATAACAGGATTTGTAAATATCCAGTCTTGAGATTAAAAGAATGTACATCAAATGTAGAAGAATATTAAGTAATCAGGATATATTTGTTAATGGGAAAAATAACAAGAGGCAAATGCCCTTAACATATTTATTCTTGAAGAAATTAAGATACAAATATTTTAGAATATTTGTTTCTTTTAGGAGCAATTAGAAGCTATCAGTGCAATAAGGTGTACAAATGTCAGGGTTGGAAATCTCTGAGGACTATTATTAACATTTATTGAAGCAGTCTAGTGGCACTGAGTGTCAACCTTCTATTCCTTTGTCCTCCCCCCTTAAAACACAGTTTTGGTAGTATTGATGATGAGGTCATAGCAAACATTTAACAAGGACTTCCTACCTCCCACATAGTCTAATAAGTGATTTACATGCATTAATATACTTATTCCTTATAGTTTGCCTTGTGGGGTCGATGTTGTCATCACCCTAGTTTTACACATGAAGGAACTGAGGCTTTTATGGGCTAAGGAACTTGCCAAAGTCTCGTTGTTGAAAGTGGGATCTGGATTTGAGCCTAGACATTGTGATTTTGTCACCTTAGCTGTTATCTATCACTCACCGGCTTTTTTCGGCCGTGTTCATGCCATCGTAAGAAATGGTGCCATAAAAATGCCATTTGCTTGTGTGCAAGTCAGTATAAACACATCATCCCTCCCTGCTGCTGGCTTCCCTGGAGTGATGAAACCCACCATCAGTTCTGCCTTCATTATCCTGAGTCCCTAGCAATGATTACTTATTATTTATTTAAATTGAAGGTAGGTTACAGTGTCTTTAAATATACCTGAGTTTTTTTTTTTTTAAGTCAGTTTAGACAGTGAATATGAGTCTCCTGATAATGCAAAGCCATGTCTTATAGATAATCCTAAATTGATTGCATTTAGGCTAGAGTTTATATATAAAGTTGATTGTAGCAGTTGCTCATTTTTGACTAGTTAGAATTACGTGACAGTGTTAGTAAGCAATGAAAAGTCTGTGGATATTCAGGAGATCATGATTTCCTAAGACCAAAAATTCAGAGACTAATTGTAGATCACTTAATCAGATCCCTAGTATTTGGCCAATCTTGTGATGAAGGGTAATTGGAGCGTTTTCTTCTGTGATCCTTGAATAGACATGTTTCTGCTCTTACCAATTCGTGTAAATGCAGTTTTGAAAATTAAAGAACACTTGTATTTGTGATGCATATAAATCTGAGATAACTTAATAATGCTATCCCTCTTTTGGGGACCTGTTGTTATTAACTCATGAGGGAAATGACTTGTCTGTTCTCGTTCTCCCTTGAGCTTTAAGAATGTAGTGTAGCCAGAATATCAAAGACTTTTAGACTTTGGTTTTATGACCAAGTGATGAGTATTTTCTTTTCCTTATTATGTTTGTGTGCTGGTAACTTCTAAGTCTGTGGTTTTAATAATTTCACCAGGTAAATATAATACTCTTTTGATCTAACTCTGTACCTCATTTTTCTCATCTATAAATTGGGAATAATATTGTACCTACTTTTTAGTGTTGGTGTGAGGACAGTTATCAGTACTATGTGTAAAGTATGTAGAGCATTGCATATGTAGTAAGTGCATAAACATGTTAGCAGCTTCTCAGGGAGTCTGCTTGAGATTCTCTCCCTCTCCCCTCCCCTCACTCCCTCTTGCTCCCCTCCCCCTAAAATAAATAAAGAAATCTTAAAAAAATGTTAGCTGCTACTGTCTTTGTCATCATCAGTGTTTTGATAATTTACATTTTGGTCTCCCAATTTTTTAGCTGCTTTAGACTTTTGTTAGGAGGGCATTATGGTAGTGACGTCTAACTCCTATGATGTTATTGTTTTAGCATAAACACTTAATAGACTATGTGGGAGGTAGGAATTCCTTGTTAAATGTTTAACATAAACCAACTGCTTTAAAATGCATCAAGATTAGGGGGAGAGTTGTGGTTCTGATGAAATAGAACTTTAAAAAACTTAGAATTGACCATTTAGATTCTAGTATTTTTCTGTACTAGATAGATAAAATTAGTTGAACTTTATACAGAGGATGAGAATATCAGGTGATTTCTGCCTTCCTTTCGTTTGTTATCTACTATATGCTAGGTATTTTGCTCACTTGGGAATCAGAGTTGGATAATATAAAGTCCTAACCTGATGGACTTTAATTTAGAGATATTTTACTTAATTTAATTCAAGAAATGAGATAAACAATGTGTCCTTTCAGCTTTAGTTTTTCTTTAGTGGCCAACCATCCTCACCATTTCAGTTTAATTTATAGATACATTTGAAGTGCTAAAAACCTTTGGATCAGAAATTCAACCGTTATATAAGTTTTTTAAAAGTGTAAGCACACACCCCATACCCACACTATAAATATGTGTAACTCTATTTCCACATGTATATTTGCCTGAATGCTTTGGTTTCCAAAAGAGTTTTCATAGCATTTTGTGAAGGGGTTTATCTCTCCTTATTGCAGGAGAGGAAATTGTTCTTCCAAAAAAAAAAAAAAAAGCTTCATTGAGGCCTATTGAGTCTCTTCAAGCATTTTGATTTAAATCTGTAAATGTGCAATTGTAATTTAGGACTTTAAGCCTCAGCTCGGCCCTTATTGCTTATAGCAGTCTTTTCATTTGTTGACATGGTTTCCTGTTTTTACAGCAGCTATCCTGAATTGTCACTTCTGCAAGGCCAGCAAGCCACTGCTGTCCCCTTTGTGCCCTCCCACTCCTCCTCCAGGGACTTTGCTTCAGGCTTTAGTTTCTGTTCTCAGATACCCAATTTGTCTGTGGCTGCAGGTGCCTCCTGTCTCACCCATCCCTCCAGGGGGAGGGGTGTCCGTTTTCCTGCACAGGGTGGTTATTCCTGCTCTCTCCTGTGCTGCCGGCCTCCCCTCCTGCCCCCTTCCCTACAGACTCCAAGTGTGCCAGTCTCTGCCATCCATAAGAACGGTCTCCTTTGACTCTTTGGCCCATATCCAGCTGTTGTACTGCTTTTTCCTTCCTGATGTGGCCAAGCATTTATTTTATTTTACATTGCGCATCTATTACCTAGGTTGCTTTAGCTCCCCCTTAAAAAAAAGAAAATACTTCAAATCTCCTTTCTTTCCTAGCAAGATGTAATCAC